AACTGATCATGGGAAACATTGAAACTTACAAATATGTAAATAATAATGAAATTGTTTTTTTACAGACCGTGAGAATCAGTCTATCCTGGATCACGTAAGTTTGCCCATCAATTTTAGCTCATTTTAGTAATTCTGAAATCAAAACAACTGCATGTTCGAGAAATGTTTTGGGCCACACTGCTATTTTTTAACATAAAACTAAAGAATGTATAGGACTGAACATCTTTTCATTGGTTTTGTTCAGTTCACCAAATCAAGATGTTTCTGCTGCTAAACCCTAGACCGTTTTTATGATCAAAGAGGAGAATTTGGTGCAGGAAAGACCTGTCAACACCAAACGTGTCATTCAGACTTTTGCGACAATGCAGTAGCTGGAGGAAAGAAAGCAGATGCAGCTCTGGGAAAAATGCAGTAAATTGAACGAATGTCGTTGTGGGCGTTCAATGCCTGATACTTGACATAAAGAATGTGATTTTTAGGGCCATCAGGTATGAGGCTATTCATTTTTGGTTTTCCCCTGGATGCTTTTCTGAATGGAGGGCGTCACTTGAAGATCAAATCATTGCAGCCAATTTCCCCTGTCTGGAGCTAGGTAATGCCCAAAAACCGTAAGGCAATGACAAACTCATTCCGCTTTGTAAGTGGTTGTTAAGCTGAGGGTCTTTTTTAACAAATATTAGAATGCCAGAAGTGCGTGAGTCATCCTAAGGTCTACCAGTTTCTTTTTGAATAGAAATTCATCAGAATACATTTCGCAACAACTGGCAAGCTTGGCTTCAGCAGGATAATTGAAACATGTTTAAGGCTGGAAATTGGATGGATGCAGATAACCTCAATTTTGGTTTTGTACCTTCTGCTTACTGGTGTCTTAACTGTGTGCTCGACAGATCTGCTGGCGAAAATCTCGCAGTGACGTCCAGCCTGGTCTGCTGAGAGAGGCTACCACATCTTCTATCAGCTGATGACAGGCCACAAACGCTGAGCGTGATAGGCTGAGACATTCTTTTGAGTTAAAGAATCATTCATTGAACTGCCTGTGTACTGAATTTCACGTGTGCTTCTTTGTCAGAGGCTCTCCTCATCACCACTTAAACCCATACGACTATCCCCCATGATCAAGTCAGGGTGAAAATCACTGTCAAGGAGTATCAATGACATTGGTGAGGGAGTTCATTGCCTACGGACGTAAGAAAATTACTCAAATCTGTAAACCATTGTTTTATTGTTATAGTTCCTTGGGGAGACAAACTTATGAGTTTATTTATCTTTGATACTGACAGACTGCCCATTGGACATCCTGGGGCTTCCCACTGCCAGAAAGAGAAGATTGGCATGTACAAGCTGACTGGAGCTGTGATGCATCATGGAGCACTGAAGTGTCAAGCGAGAAGCGACGGCGTCTTGGAAGAGCAGGGGCTGAACTGGATGGCACTTAGTATGTGGGCACTTGTTTGTTCCATTTAAAGAAGCAGCACCTTCGTGCAAAATTATGTATTGATTCTCTTTGGATATGCGTATGAAGAATACAACTCTCGAATCTCTCTGCTTGTGTTCCCAGGTTGTGATAAAAATCGTCATACCTCGATGGCGGCTTGAACTCAGTCGTGGACCTACTGGAAGCTCTGTGCTCACCCAAGGGAAAGTCGCGGAAATGGAGTTTGTGACAAGGTCAGACTGTTGCCTCAGGTAAAACACTGTGTAACATACGGTCCTGTGGGCCATACCTTCTATAGGCTCTGTAACGCCTGTCGAAAACTTTTATGAATCATTTTGTTTGCCATTTCACAAACATCAAACTAAATGTTTTATATCATTTGTTGTATTCTGGGTAAAATCAGGTCAAGAGAATTCCTATGCTCTCTGAAGTCTGTCTATTGAGAAAAGTTCTTGTGGGATGTGGTCGTCAGAGATTAAATCGAGATGTTTGGGACACAAAGCAGCAAGACAGTTCTTCATCGGGTGTTGGCTCGACATTGGGCTGGGATTTGAAATCTTTTTGATTGGTAGAAGTTTGGTGATGCAATCTTCTGTAACTTTTGGCTTGTTACAAAAATTCAATACTCAATTACTCCACATTCCTCTCTTTGAAAACATGTTCAAACAGCTTTGGAGCAGCCTGTGCATCAACTTCACCAATGAAAACTGCAACAGTTTTTCAAACCACCACATGTTCTGTCCTGGGGAGCAAGAAGGAGTACAAGAAAGGAGGGAATTGGGCAGTGGGAGTTCACTTGACTTGGTAGCGACTTGGCTGCTCGCATGGAGCTGTATTGGAGAAGGTAATAATAATAAAATTAATTAGGTAAAAATAAATTATCCTCACCGATTGCCTCAGGACCAGTACAGGATTAAAAATTTGTGATATTTGTGTTATCGTCTTACACCTCCAGCTCCTCAATACGAGCCTGAAACACACAAAGTTGAATTAAAAATCGCTCAAAATATTTGAATGTTCCTTTGGCTTCGGCTAATGCTTCTAATTATACCTGAAGTTCCTTTATCTTTTTCTGTAGCTGGATTCCAAGAGTCTGCTCATCCTCAATCTTACCCAGGAGCTGGCTTATCTCAAAGTCCTTCCTGGAGGGGAGAGAATTAATTCAGCATGTTAAAGTTGCATTTAAGTAGTGCCTTTCATGAAATATTCCAGTTCAAGAAGGTAATGTAGATGGAGGGATAGATGGAGTTTGTTTAGTCTTACTTCTTTATTTTCTCAATCAGACTGCTGCTGTCATTCCTCCAGATCATAATGGATTCCTGCCAGTTTCAGATCTCCTTTCAAGGCTTTCTTTTTGCTCCGCTCGGAGAATCCATAACGGAGCCTTCTTTTCTTGCTCCAGGGAACCTTCAAGCTATCATCAAAGCAGATGTTTCACAAAATAAAAGTTATGATTTTATAGATTTTCAGAAAATCACCACTTTTGATCATGTCTATGGTCAGATTTTTTATGGAATAGCCATTTATTGTATTTACATCAGTAATTAACTCATTATATAAATGTTTATTATTGTAGCAACTTTTAGCAACTTTTAATGTAGATTACTCACGGTCGTCCCCACTTGCTGCTCCAGCTTGGGTCTTGCTTTCCGTCAAGAGTGTTGACTTTGTCTTCCTCCTGCCTGCAGATCATCAAGGTTTGGCTTGATGGGCTCTTGCGAGGCTTTCTTCTCTTTGGCGTCAACGTTGCAATGGTCTCATCTTGAGAAGCCATTTCCTCTGTAAGGTTTTTGACCTATAAAATTTTGATTTACAACAAGTTTTTAATCTACACTGAAGTGAAAATAAATGATTAAAATAAATGATGGTTAAAAGGCCTATTTTGTGACCTTGTTCTCAGTGGCGTGTTTTTCCTTTTCCACTTTGGCCAGGGTGAGCTCCAAGTCATCAATATCTTTCTTCAACTCAGAGCACTCGTCCTCCAGCTTC